CACATTGGCCAAGTTTCGCCGAGGCTATTCGAGAACTACTTCATACACGAGTCCCTCCCCCTCCTCCTCCGCCATCTACGGAGTTTCGTTGAAAATGGTAACTCGCGTCCCCGCAGACGTATTCGGTTGCCCGATCCGCGTCAATTGCAAATCCGAATTGGCGGGGCAGCGGGGATCGGGAAACGACAGGAATTTCCTTACGCAACAGGCGTGTCGTTCCGTTAGCGGTTGACGAAGCGGGAAACGAAGGACGGAGACGCGGTAAAAGAGAAACGCGGCTTACGTTACGTTATAAACCGGCACGGCTAACATCGGTTTTTAGACGACGGAATTCGAAATGATGGAGACGTACTTCAGAAATGTACTTCAAACCGGACTGTGACTTACGTTAGACCAAAGGAAATACCAGGGAAACTGCGGTGAACGCGGTTTGCGTATCGTCGACGCGAGACACGAATCTCCTTTCAAAATCCGCGTATGAATGGCCGCTCGCGTACCGCCTGTCTCATTTCCGATTCATTAAATTCTAAAGAGTTGTTTCGTGACGGAGGCCGGGACAGATAGCTGGGGCTGCGGCGTGCTCACGGCCGCAATCCTATATATTATGCGCGCGCGGACTTTGATAATAATTTAAACGCCATGTAAATCGAATGGAAGATTGCCGGGGGAGCGGCGCGTCGCCGCATAGAAATGCATGTGGCTTAATTAAAACGGCGCTTTTATGAAACAAATATTTATCGCGATGCACCGACGGAAACTAAATTAATCGTCCGCGTGATGAAACCCGCATTTCTTTCTTTTTTTTCTCTCTCCTCTCCTCTCTTTTCACTTTGCATTCCGCGCGTATTATGTGGGCGTAAAAAACAGAAGAGGAGAGAAACTCTTTGATGGTCAATATTTGTAAACGTTTATTTATCGATACGCATTGTTCATTCGTAAATTGAATTGAGGAGGGGAGGAAAAAAAAAAAAAAAAAACAAAAAGAAGAGACGACACGCATTTCGATACGACACATACTACGCGAGTTTATTTGCACTGGCGCGCGCTCTCTGTCTGGTTTTTTCTCCGGCGAGGTAAATTTCATTCGTTTCGTTGTTTTATAATAAGTATCGATTTGAAAAAAAAAAGAAATAGCAATTGCGCACGTACGGCGACTCTCGCTATGGCCGCCGCTCGATCGAGATACATTTGCACTCTCTCCGGCAACGCGAGCGCGTGTCCTTTCTAGCTCGCGCGTGCCGTTTCGCGCTTCCCTCTGATCGCAGCGGCGAATTCGAGCCCCCTCCCCGCCGCGACAGCCACGCCGGATGCCTAGAGGAATTTCCCGCCTCTCCAACAGTTATTTAACCCGATCCTAAGTTACGCAAAGCGGCGGAACAAGGTTTCGGCTTTCGTTTCGCGGATTCGGCTTTCGGGGTAACGGATATACCGTTCGGATCGCCAGGAATTCCACGATTTCACAGTGGCGTACGTTGTGTTTATACGTAACGCATTCCAACGATCGTCGAATCGTTTATAGATTTGTGTGCCATTAATCAAGTGCGAAGTATAATCGATCCGGCGGTCTGGGCGTGGTAGGTGTGCAAGGTTTAAAGGAAAACGTGAGCCGACTGCCGTATCGCCGCGTTCCTTCGTCCACTTGATTACAGTACAATTGAAATTCGTTACGGTGCCCATCTTATTATGGGAACACGTTCTATAGCGATTTCCCTTCTACTTGCTCCTCCTTCATCGGCCAGTTTCCAGTTACTTTTTTCCTTCTTGTTCCAAGAATATTTCCAAGATCGCTGGAAGAACGATGGAAGTTCCGCGAACAAATTTCGAGTGTACGTGAGAAACCGCACCCTAGGGGAACGCCGCGCCGCTTTCTCATGCAGCCGTTCCACGCTGGTGTCGGCTGTTTATCTGTCCCTTCTCATTATTCTTCGAGATGCAGCCAATGCTTCGCTCATGATCTAGGTAATCGTTCCTGTTGGCATACTTCCCCGCTCTTTAAACGTCGGCTGAATCTCACGAGATGTTCAGCCTTACGTAAAAGTTTCGCGCCGGCTGGTGCGCGATGCGCGCGCGGTAATAGGCGTTGGGTGGATAAGTAGGTACATAACTGGAAGCAGGAAAGAAAGAAAAATCGCGTTGGAATTCAAAAGCAAAATGGCATACATAAAATATCGTGGCGGATGAAATATGAGGGTGACATGTTAATGAGGTGGGTTGGCGTGGTTATGGGGAGGGTTGGGAGGTCGAAGAAGGCACGCGTTGAAGGACCAACGCGCCCGGCAAGTAGAGCATTTCGCGCGGAAACCATCGCGACACATTGGGCTTAACGTCCCGTGGGTAGAGGTCTTATCGTCCGAAGACAAATCTCTTTCCCTCTCCAATTCTACGGTCAATTTTTCTACCTCGGGTCGCGCAATCCTTCTCCGCGCCGTGGCAGCCGAATCATTCCATTTAATCTCTCGTTGAGTGTTTGATATCGTTCCGAGGAGAGGTACGAGTGCGTTTCTCTCGATACAAGTGCAGCTCGGCGGATTACTTCGGTTTCTTCTTTCGTTTTTTCCCTCCTTCTTTCACAGGGAGGGCGAATTAAAAGATTAAAAGCACGGGAGATGTAATTGACCGATTCTTGAGAACGAAAGAACCAAGGAACGAAAGGAACGAGAGGATAGAGAGAGAGAGAGAGAGAGAGAGAGAGAGAGACTGTGTATTAAAAGGAAAAGGGATTGAAAAAGTTATCTGTCACGCCGGGATTATATGTATGTATACATATATTTCACGCAGACCAAAAAAACATGGAGAATTCAATCTCAAGATAGAGAGTAACTCGCTCGTTACCAGGTGCCTAAACTTTATGACAGACGTAAAGAAGTATAGTAGGTGAGATTCTATCGTCGGGGCGACGGATCTACCTTTCCCCTCTATCCGCCGGCCGTTTCACGGCCAATTCCAACTACGAGCAACGCCATCATCCCGCGGCAAGCTCCGAGGATTATCCTCGTTGATAGCACTTCTCGCAATAGGCTTGCGCGCTTTTAAATACTCGGGCGAAAGCTCACCGTGAAACGTGAAAATAGTCGCTGAACCGCCACGGCAAGAATAAAAGTCACGGTACATTACATAGCTCGCCTATTTGCACCCCGATGGCCATGCATGCGTATAAGTTTTATAAATTGTGCGCCGCGTCAATATTTCAAGGGGCAAATGTGCAGCGCGAAATGTAAAACGAAAAAAAAGATGAAAAAAGTAAAAAACAAAAAAAAAAAGAAAAAAGAAACAAAACGTCAAACGTTGAATACGGCTACCTTTTGTTCCGACAAGTCCGCATTGCGTCAAGTTTTAATCTAACCTCTTGTTAACGATAACGATTTTTCGTTCGAATTTTTTATGTATCGGAATACGTGATACGACGGACGTGTGCCACGCTGTACCTGCGATACAAAATATTGCCAACTTGAACGCAAAAATACGAAAACCGTGTCGTTCGAAGGCAACGGGGAGGGTCGTAAAAGGTCATCGAGACATGGATTGTCGAAGGGTCGTGAAGGTTATTTTTAAATCGCCAAGATGGTTCGAAAGCTACTGCGACGACGATTATTGTATATTAGCCGACCAACAGGCATTTCGCGTTACATTGTAACCCATTTACAAAAATGGTAATAATAATGCTCGAGGAAGAAAGGGATATCGAATTTCCAGATAATGAGGTACTTTCACCTAAAGTACCCGCTGGAAAGGTAGCGGGGAAATATCGGGATGCGATCGAACAAAGCAGTAATAGATAATTTATCCAATAAACGCGAATCACCTGCAGGTAGAATTTCTCACAATGCGTGCCAGAAGGTCTACCATCTCTACGAGTAAATTCCGGTCACGAGTCGAGCAATCATCCTGTGTCACAGAGTTCGAGAAATTATTCTGACCGAGAACATTTCTTGCTTACTCTCAGGTACACGAAATCAACCAAAAGCTCGCGTACAGCAATTACCGATCGTTATTGACGTAGCGTACATTTACCTGTCCGGTAATACGTGCGCGATATTTGCAAGGCAGTTACTAGTTCTCGAAAGTTACCGAACTACGGTCGCAACTGGATAGTTGCATTTTCGCCACAACTTTCTCACCCGAGCTAATGAATGGTTCGTTCGCGCGTGTATGGATACCACTGTGAAAATCACTCGAGTGCGTACGTATCTGAAAATGCTTTGTATCGCAGGAACTTTCGAATCGGACAGGAATTCGTTTCGAGGCAGGAGTAGCGAGTTGTTTTCTTCGACGGAGCTAATGTAAGAGGATCCAAGAAGGATCGATTGCCACGTAGAAGGAGAAGAGTTAACGACCATGGCGAAACAGACGTCGAGCTACTGCCATAGATAGAAAATACTGTGACTAATGGCAGCGTTAATACTCCTAACGTCGGGACAGTAGTTACTGACCGTAATAGACAGACAATGGCAGAGGCTGGAGAGGAGCTCGATATTACATGGAAGTGAATAGTGAACGTCGCGAGCAGACACAGCGCTTATTTGTTCCTTCCAGCAATATCAAGGTAGCTTATTTCGAAGAAATCGTTCCCTCTGCCACGATAGATCCGATAGTTGCGAATTATTGTACACACAGGGGAACACCGACGATTAATTAAAATCTGGATCTGGTAACGGCCGTGCATTTGTCGATAGAACGAAGTACACATATAGAGGGAACTAAATTACTTCCCCTTCGTTTCTCATCGAGCGATTTTTACTGGTGGAAGGAAGAACGTTTCCAATTTCGCAGGGAACAAATGATGAAAAATTCGATCCGTGATAAAAGCGGACCGTGCATTCCGCTCGCAGTAAGTTGAAATTTTTAGTCGTTTTCCACCCACGTAGTAAGGCCACCGTGGTGGAGATCCCTGGTCGTTACAGGCGGATCCTTCTTTTTCCTTGGTTCACGGTTCCGGTGGTTCACGACCAATTCCGCCACGGATCATTTTTGTTAACGAGACTTTTTTACCGGGTCTTTAGGTGTCGTGGATCAAACGGAAGAACGTCCAGGAGTTACTGACCGTAGGACTGACAACGTACGCCAACGACGAGCGGTTCCAGGCAATTCATTTCCACCACAGCGAGGATTGGACTCTTCAAATAAAATACGTTCAACCAAGGGATGCTGGATCGTACCAGTGCCAAGTATCCACCCACCCACCCACAAGTATATTTCTGTTCCTCGAGGTTGTCGGTAAGCGTGATATTAAACACCGATATAAGCTATTCGCGTGTGGCCTCTGGCCGATTTTCGGTTATCGCGCACAACGGCCTCCGCGGCCTCTCCAATTCCCTCTCCCCCTCTCCCATCCTCTTCTCCACGTTTTTTCTCCTCTCTGTCCGTCTTTGTTCTTTTAGCACGCTTTTTAGCATTTCACGCTGAAATTTTATAATTTATTTCGTTGAATGATTAATGAAATTGGAATAAATGTTTCCAAAAAGGATTTTTCTTCATCACTGTTGCCTACGTATATCTCGTTCGCGATCGCATTCGACAACGGTGAAAACGTATCGGGAAAATATCGGTTTCGATTATTTGTATTGATCATCTGTCGCTTTCCTTTTATTTCTTTTTTTTTTTTTTTTTATCAACATGCACAGCACAATCGACGCATCATTTTTCTCTCTCTCTCTCTCTCTCTCTCTTTCTCTCTCCATTTATGTGCACACGTTCCGGTTCATGCACACGCGCGATCACGTATTCCGGCGTATTTCTCCGCCAATATCGTTCTTTTCTTCAACGTGGCGTTTCGCATTTCGTCAGCTCGCAATTACGTCAGCTACTGTAACGAATATTACATAAAATGAGAACGCGGTCAAACACAGGAAATAAAATCGAAGCGAAACGCGTGTTTCTTTTGTCGGAAACTGGCTTACAAGCTGGAAAAGTGGCGATGCTTTCTACGAAAGGGGCCACGTAAAGAGCATCTCTAGCTAGTTAGAGACAGTACAGTCTGGTTTTCCAGTACTTCAGTCTCGTTTTCTGATAAGAGACCCAACACCGGAATATCTACAGTGGAAACGCTTTTTCCTCATACACTTCGCCTGGGAAAAAGAGGTAGACAGCAGTTTAAGAATTCTCTCTGTTTTATCGGATCACCTATCTCTGGCCGTTTTCTTTGGCCTTTTTTTCTGTCTCTCAGTCGCTTGTTCGATCGTCGTTCCCTGTTCCAACGCTCTTCTTTTTTCCTCAACTACGGATTAAGTGTTTACACATTTTCATTCTTATTTACGCAGGCTCTGCATGTCGACGCGATCGGGGTACCTAGAGAGAGAGAAAGAAAGAGAAAGTCCCACAGAAAAAGTCTGGAGAGCACTTTTATCTGGATTTTATTAAGCAGACGGCCGATCAATAGCGAGGAAACGGTTTTTATCAGACGCAGGAGGCAGAAGTTTCGTGAATTACGACGTTTGGTCCCGGCGTCGCCGTTTTAAGCGACGTTCCCCGCCCCCCCCCCCCTCTCTCTCTCTCTGTCCCTTTCTCTCCCTCCCTCTGTCTCTCCGTGTTTCGTGTATTTGCATTTAGATTCTAGTTTTTGGAAGTACGCCCTCTATATCTATATCTATAGATTTGTACGTATACTTCCACATCTATATATATATACATATTGTATATATAATAAGCATACGCGTGTGTACGTGAGCGTGTATGTGTGTATGTGTGTATGGTACGATCGTGCGAGTCGCGCCAGTTATCTAATTTTGTCCTGGTTTCCGGAATCGTGTTTTTGTCGTGACATCTGACGGATACGTACGAGAGCCTTTCTCAGGTACTTTTAATATTTATGCTCTGTCCCGACCTCAACCCCATCTCCAGTCCTCTGAATCTGGGACGTGTAATATTTACGTTTCTTCTTGCACGCTGGAAATTCATGGGCCGAGATTTTTCTGATCTGAAGATGACGTATAATGGGATTGCAGCGGCGACGTATTTCGATTATGGCATTTTATATACCGCTAAATGGTCAGCACGGAGGACGGATTCCGGCGGCAGACGGAATAAGATACGAATGTTTCATCCGCTTTCAATCGGACGAAATATCCTGCGGATTTCGACGATCGACTCTCGCGTGCCTAACGTTCCTTCTGACAATGAGTGAAATTGATTCGTTAATTACCTCGACTGTGTATCCCTCTGACTCGTCGCGAATTTCAAGGCTTACCCAGTCCTTCGAACCAAATTATACCTTTCGCTCGTCCATTCGGTCAATTTGCGCGACGAGCCGCTTTCTTTCCACTGTGAACGATTTAAAAAGATATCAACGATGAAACGCCGCGACCGTCGAAACTTGCAGGAGAATTTGATCGTTCGCTCGTTTCAAATCAGTTCCCCGGGCGAATTTCTCAAACGCTCCGCCTCCGCATCGTCGTTTCAATAAAGGATATACTTCCGTTGTAAAACGCCCGTATTTTGCGTTAAATTTCAACGTTACACTCGAACGGAACGACCGTCACTTGCCGTGCCACCTTTTGAAAAACTACGGGAAATCGATTTCCAGCGGCAAGTGTCTGACTATACGCGCGCCCATTCTCCTCGAGCGTAGCCCCCCTTCCGCCCCACCATCGCCCGCCATCGTGTACTACACGGCGAACAACGGTCAGACAAAGACGAGTCCTCGTCGTCGTGTTAATACTGTCAATCGATTAATTCGAGTTAATCGAAAGAGCATTTTCAGAACGTTTCCATCGTCGCTGGTTATTAACGATTGCTCTTGTCGAACGGACGGGCAGTCGGAGGGTCGGGAGAGAGACAGAGAGAGAGAGAGAGAAAGAGGAGAACGGAAGAAAAAAGAAATTGGATTACGTAGCTTGCTCGCTAATTAAAACGCGATCGAGGAGAATGGATCGGAGAAGCCTTTTCTCGCAATCAACAGTATGCGCGTTCGCGAGTGGCTCCGCGGCTGAAAATCAGATTGGATTACCGGAGAATAAGAAGTTGATAAAGACGTATTTAACGAGGGCATCGGCTCGGAAGGAATTTATCTTCCCCGCCAACTTTTGAATCGATAACGATCGTGGCCATTGTCGCAAAGACAGTTTCGAAAGTTGACCCTAATGACGTCTCATTAAATCTTTCTAATTAGACGAATCGTATCGCGAAAAAAAAAAAAAAAAAAAAAAAAAGAGAGAAAAAAAGAGATAAAAAAAGAAAAACAGACGAAAGAAACGGAGAATTTTTAACGTTCGCGGGATAAATAACTCGCCTCTCTCTTGCCGGTAGGTACGTCGACCTTTCCAAGTATGCGAGCACACGATCGCGCGCGTGGCAGATCTAATTTTAATCATCCGATATTGCTACATCACCCTTAAAACTTTCAACACAGGCCGGGAGAAGGGATTAGATCACACCACATTTAATAAGCTTCTCAATTTCTGCCGGGTATATAGACTCGAGTTACAATTTCTTTCTCATCGTGGAAATTAATTAAGAAACTAAATTACAAACTACACAACCTGGATAATTCGATCCAGGTGTAATTGAATGCTCGGAAAGCGAGAAAAGATTGAAGCGGAGGAAAAAGGGAGGAAAAAGGGAGAGAGGAAAAAAGCCGAGCGAAACGAGTGCAATGGAGAAACACGGGGAGATGCCCGGGTGAGCGAGGCGCGACTCGAGAGAGCAAAAATTGGTCAATTCGACGAAGCGTATAAACAACAAAGCGCAATCGCTTTAACGGATTGGTTGAAATTCACGTACGCGGCGAGAAAATCGCGTCGCGTCGCGATGGAAAGCGTCTGATCGTTCGGAATCCCGGATGTCCTTGAATCGTAACGTTCTAATAAATTTCGGACGCGTTCGCGTCTGACTGGCGACGGATTTGTTTTTATTTCCACGACGCACACGACTTTCTTTTGCGCGACCGCCGACGGGATTCAACGCGATCGATCGCGATATCGAGAGAGAACCACTTGGAGCGTGGACGCTTCAAAAGAGCGTGCTTGTATCACGCAGAGGAGCGCTTAAAACTCGATCCAGGCGTTCACGTGCTGTGCGTTCGTCCGTGACACGACGTGAAACGGAAGCCCTGTCGCCGGGGGTTGAAGGCGGACGGGCAAAAGTGTATCCGACTGGGGATGGCGAAGGTTTGCCCTCGTGTTTGCAGTGTACCGTCACGCCTGATCCTATAGCGGAGTCGCGGACTGTCGCGTCGGTGAGCGAACAAAGACGAACACGATGGCTCGAGTAAACGAATAGGTGGTAGTCGGGGGCGTTGTATGTTGGGCTAGTAGAGAGAAAGAGAGAGAGAGAGAGAGAGAGAGAGAGAGACATTGCATTCGTGTAGTAAGGGTAACTTAAAATTCTTCGGGTTGTGTCAGCCTGTGGAGAAGATAACACAAACGTTGCCTAGTTCATGAGACGGTTGAAAGAACGGGAGCGAGAGAGAGAGAGAGAGAGTGTGTGTGTAAGAAAGGGAGAAGGGAAGAAAGAGAGAAAGAGGATGAGTGGGATTTCGTACGCTATCCCCGTACAACCCTTAACCAACCACGATGCATACCTCATCCTTCCTACTCTGCTCATAACCGCCTTGGATCCTAGTAAACAATATGGGATAGAACGGTAAGCTGCTCACGTCTGACGCGTCACGTTCTGCCATTTGCAGAGGCCAGAGCAGAGATAGCCGGTCCCTCGGAAAAGTTTGTGAGGCCAGGTAGCACCCTGCAGCTTCACTGCCTCGTGAAAAAATCGACCGAGACGCCTTCCTATCTATTCTGGTACCATAACTTCCGGATGATCAACTACGACATCGATCAGGGGGTCAATGTCAGCACCGATCTGGCGGGCCGTGAAAGCTGGCTGGAGGTGCCCCGTGCGTCTAATCGTCATTCCGGAAATTACACCTGCGAGGCGAGTAACGCGCAACCGGCGCGGGTGTTGGTGCACGTGTTCAAAGGGGATAATCCAGCGGCGATGCAGCACAGCATCGCGTCCTCGCCATCCGTCATGGCTTGCAGCGCGCTATTGATGATGTTCACCACGTTGAAGCTGGTGCTGCATTCCACCGTCACGAACTGACCGCCGTGTCGCGTCCCGTCGTCTTCGCCGCACGAAATGTAGAAAAATGAACGTCGCGATCTTCTCTTCTTCGAAGATGAAGGGGACAAAGCGGTGTAGCAGCAGCTCGCAGCTCGCAAACGAGGATAAATGTCGTTCAAGCAGCGCGTTTCCAGCGTACTTTAGAGGATGTTGCAGAGAGGACGATGCAGTTCGCCCCAGCGAGATCGTATTCTCGAGAGACTCTGGCCGGATTCGAAATCAGGCAGCCTTTGATCTTCGAAAGGTGAGCGACGTTGTCGTGATACGCGCATTAACGTAATTCTTAAGGGATCGAAATTGAATAGTCGAGAGTGGTAGATGGACGTGTGCGTGATTTTTTTTTTTTTTTTTTGCGTGTCTGTCGTTCGTGTGTGTACGGAAAAGTGAGACAACAGCGTGTAACGAGACACGAGAATAACGTTTGTGTAAAATATTCGAACACGGTGGATACATCTAGCCGTGTGTCGTTAAGACCGTGCATGCAGTCGACAGCTACTTCAAACGACGCTCACGTATTCGTTGTATCGCGTGAATAACGAAGCATCGTCGCATAAGACGGAAAGATTCCTTACGCTCGGTCGTTGTAGGGCGAGCGCCAGTTTCAACGTTTCAACCAGTGTCACCGTACATACACACGTGTTTGCTCAAAAGTTCGTATATCGCGCGCGAGCTCAACCCCTCCCCCTTGCTCCCTACACACCGTCTGTTAACCCGTTGTGATATGTGTGCAAATGTGTAAACTGTGTGTAACCATCGCGATCGTAGAAGTGTAATTGTGTAATCTGTACTGCGACGAGTGGCACGATTAACGGCGATAATCCTGTCGCGATCCGACGCATTTTCCCCGGCCAAACTTTCCGACGATGTGATCCCTGTGTAGACCTAGTAGCGACAACTTTATTCGGTGTTAAACTCGGTCTCTCTCGTTCGCCGCTCGCGAAATTTACGTTACGTTACGTTAATGGCAGCGACGAGAGATCGTCGGCGGTTTCGCGCCCCTTCGTTCGTTTGTTCGTTCAGTCGTTCGCGGTAACGAACGTTTCCGCAAGAACTTGGCAAGAAAGAAACGATAAAAGAGACAAAGAACGACAGACCAAGTGGCAGTCGTCGCGTTTTACGATGTGCGTGAAGGTCGTCGAATCGACGAACGAAAGTTCGATCGTTAAGTCGGGGCAAAATGGGCAAGTTTGCCGAGACATAGTGGAATATTGCATATTCGGCCTATATGTACAGGTGCGCGTAATTAATCGTGATAATCCCGGCGTAATGCAGCACAGCCTAACGACATTATCTTCTATTGCCTTGCTCCGCACAGACGATCTTGCTCATAATGTCTAAATTAGTTCTATGTGACGTCCACGAAATGACCGTGCTCAGGTGTTGTTCACTCGTGTAGGGAATCTGCGCGGCGATTAACGGCCGATGGAGAATCATTGCAAAAAGTATATCCGAATTTGTTGACGCGAGCGTGTTCGCGTTTTTTAGCCAATTTGTCGTTGGAAACTCGTGATCGACGAGTAAAATAAAACTGTTGTCGTGTTTAGCGTATCGCGTTAGAAAAAGTTTACCAACTCCCCTCTCCCCTCTCCCCTCTCCCTCCCCCAGCTCCTCTTTTTCACCCTTGTTAAAGCTCGACTGTGCCAATCGCGCATCGATCTTTCGTTTTTCATATCGAATCGTTCGATCGCGTGAAATTTTATTGTACATATATTTTCTATGTCGGTTGTTCGTCCATCTATAAATTATATGGTAAATCATTTATAGAGGAGCGTGGTTCCGCGAATCTCTCGCGAGATACGCAAGGTGATCATCCTGGACCATGATGTGTGTTTCGCAGCGTTAGTACTGCCGCATGTTCTCCAACGCTAATCCACTATTTCCTAGGTAGACAGCTATTTCACGTATCCGTACACATTGCCAACGAGGATAATCCAGTTTCTGCAAATAATAAACCCAACGGTTATATTATTATCAAGTCGGTGTGCCCGGATTTCGACACGAGCAAACGAAGTGCTCGCGTGGTGTGCGCCGAAGATTATACACGCCGTGGAATCCCTTCGTATAACATATATACCTGCATCGATCTCGATTACTCCGATCGATTACAAACGGTAATATTTCATCGAGCGTACACAACATTCGACGGGATCCTTTGATTTATGTAATTTGAAGCGATGGATTATTTAATGTGATGTTCGACGATGTAGTCGCTGTCTGTTTTATGTACATACGTATACATAACATATACATATATATATATATATATATATATATTATATATATATAAAAATATGTTACGAACGTCGCACAATGTTAATCTCATTTACGGTTGAATAAAGTTTTCATATAAATTCCACTGGACTCTTGGAAACCGCAGACAAGGGATCTTCGATTATTCACGACTTTCGTAATAATAACAGATCGCTCTTTCATCCCCTCGTTTAAAAGCCTCATTCCCTCTTTTATTAACGACGCCTGCTTTAACACCGTCCTGATGTTTTCCTGATTTCGTACAAATCGATATTCGCCGAGTGCCTGGCCGAGTAAGAGACAGACGTAAGTAATGAATTACACCTCGACACTGTTCCGTGACACAATAGACAGTATTTTCGTTCCTGTGTGTAATATAACCGAAGCTCTCTTTATTGAAGTAAAATGCTAACGGAATGTGATGGGTTCATGGTATAAGCATTTTCATTCATATCTCTCTCTCTCTCGTTTTCTCCCCTTCCCGCTCGTTTTCTCCGTCTCTCTCCATCTCTTCTCCCTCCCCCCTCATTCTCTCTCTCTCTCTCTCTCTCTCTCTTTCTCCACGTTTCTCCACCCCTCTCTAGAGATAGAGAATAATTTCGCCGTGACACAGTTCGAGCCTCAGTCTCCGATAATAGCTGCATGCTAATGGCATTGTTTGCCACATTAAAATTACCGTTCCGCTCAATCGGCACTAATTGATTATTACGCCGCATCGAAACTATTCAAGAATTACGATCCCATTAATTGACGCAGAGTGGATACTCAAACGATCCGTTACCGCGGAGAGAAAAATCTGCGGTCGTCCAAGGGACGCTATTGTTCCTGTTACCCCTGTCCGTTCCTTTTCGCAAAGGAACTCGATCTCGTTGAAATTAAACGGAACGCAAACCGGATAATTTATCACGGACTACTGGTTTACACGGTAGTTGGAACACGATCGAAACTAAATTTCACGATCGTGATTCCGGGTATATCCGCGTTGAAGGCGGTTTTAATCGGCACTCGATTATGTTTACCATACACACCATCGAACGCACTTGATCGAGAGAGAGAGAGAGAGAAAGAGAGAGATATTCGATACTAAACTGGAATGCAAGGCGAATTACCTAATCCAACGATGATTTTACGTTCCTGCTCGACTTGTCTAGAATATTGCCGCTCTGGGGAATAGCACGGCTTCCGACCAATACATACATCCAAACATCGAATTCCCGTGTTAAAACATTCGCATCAATCGGGTTTTGCATTTCGATGAAATCTATTTGATACACCTGGTAACCCGGCATACCCCGGGCAGCGAAACGAAGCAGTATCGCCGAGATATCATGAATTTCAAGCGCAATTATACGAGAACCCGTTGCCTAAAGAAATTTTCTTTCGCCGGTTCTTGTCATTTTTTTTCTTTTTTTTTTAGTTTCTCCTTCGAGATTTTCCCTTCCCGATTTCCCGTTGACCCGATTTTAAGGTGGCGGGAATCAGAGCCGGCCTGCAATCAGCAGCCAGCATTCGGGCGTGCTAAATTTGAATCGTTAATATCGTGTACCAACAGCTAGCAGATCTGGACGTCATTATTCCAGAAAGATGACTCTAATCTATCCGAGCCGTCTCGTCAACGACGGGCAACATTGTCTGGCATCGTTTCCGAACTCGTATCTTCTTCGATAGATACGGATTATACTTGGTCGTCCAGGATACTTCGATTTCACCAACATCCCGGAATATTCTCCGAATTACAAGCCGCCATCCAGAGTGTTTCACTATATCAATTACTCCAGTAAAATGGGGAACCTATCGATTAAAAACGTTGACCGGTTGATCGAACTGTCTCGTGTTGTGTAACCTATATTATTACAGCGTGTAACGAGTTACAAGCCGATCAACAACGTACACAACGTTCGGAAGTTTCAGCTCTGCCGGGGAACTCGTGACTCGAAGCCGAATCACGTTACTACGACAGGACAGATATCAATGTTCAAAGGCGCACAAAGGACTCCCACGTTCCTAATTCCGGCTGAAGACTGGTATACGATCGGTGGTAGTCGCGTTAGATCCGCCAGGACACTTTCAACCAAACGCGAATCAATTATATGACGCCTGTGTCTCCTCCTCCCTATTTCTCTCTTGCCCGACTCCGCACACACCAGTCTGCATACTACATCGGTAATTCGAAGCGCTGACCATGCCACTGGTCATTTTACAACCTCATCGATATGCAAGCAATCCTTTAGCTGTGTATGAAGCGCATGTCCAGGTGAAATGATTCTACAACGATGATCAATCAGAAAGCCGACCCGCTGACCGAAAGCACAACTCCGTGTGTGTTTGCCGTGATTTCCAACGGGCAGCTCGGCAAGCCGAGCCGGGCTCTGCGAAAATGAAATGCAAATTCGTGTTAATGCTCGCATGTATTCTTTACTTTAGCGGGTGGCGCGTCGTTATCGGGTATCGTTGCGTTTCAATTGGTAATGCGAAACGACGTCTCATTTGCACGTTGATTTTCCGTGGATCTCGTTCTTCCATCCATCTCGTTTTCCAGGGTGGGTCGGGCGAAACGCGGCGAAGTGGAGCGACGAGCGAAAACGAGGACGAAGATTGATGCTCGATCGTTGAACGCAGTTTAACGAATTAGAAGTTCACGGCGTCAAAACCTGGAAATTGTATAAGGAGACATCCCGCCGGTAATCTCAGTTGGTAACTGCTTCGAGTTTTAATGCACTTAGAGACGACAATTCTGATAGCGAGACTGTTCAAACTTTATCTTCGGCCGAATCGTCATTCACGTCACATCCGTTTATTCCTCTTTCTAAATATACTCTCTCTCTCTCTCTCTCTCTCTCTCGATCCTTGGTTCTTCCAACTCGTCGAGAGGAACAGTTCGCGGTGAAATCGACGAGGAAACGTTTTGTTACACTCGAAGCGCTCGCAACTAGTTCGAGTACGATCTCTGTTTCCCGCGTTACCAACTTTTCGAGAAATTAACGAATTAATTCACCGCGTTTGCAGGGTCGAATCCTGCTGAATTCCATGGTACTCGATTAAAGTAGTTTAGCAATACGATATCGCGGGATTGTTTAGCGATTGCCCGGCGAGAGCTATGGAGGCTCTCCGTCGACGCCGCGAGAGAATCGATAAGAACGCTCATCGGCCAATACGGCACTTGGTTCTGCGGTTATTAGAAAAGAACCGTAAGAACACTCGACGATTTAAAGATTAAAAAACGCGATCGGAATCGATTCCTCTTGTTGCTCTCGCTCGGCTTTTCATGCTACCAAACGGGAAAAAAACAACGAGAACTCGAGCATCGACGTTCCAGAGAAGATTATCAGAAAAGATAAAACAATCTCAATTGTATCTACTTCTGTATATAAAGTCGTTGGATATTTGGACGCCAATTGAAACTCGAAATTATTTCCTGATCGTGCATCACTTTATACACACGTAAATCTCCTTCTCTCTCCTTCCCTCGAGAGATAACATCTCCCTTCTAAATTATTCCAGCTACGTACCCTCGTGTCCCCAAAAATTTCCGCCTTTGGCGCGAGTCGTTTAGCATAAAGAAATATTCGATTCGGAAGATCTCCATTGGTCAGAGTGCGGCAAGTTTTAATCAGGCTCGTTAGAAATCGTGCCAGTTCGGTCCGTTATATTACCAGGTGCACCGCATGGAACGTGTTTCTCGTTCATCTTAGGCGAATTTCCGGAAGAAATTCCGAGCCCCTAATGCGGCCACTAAGCCCTGCCCGCTCGTCAACGAGGATAATTCTACGAGGTACCTGGCCGGGTGTCGGCAAATGACTCTGTTCGCTGGCTCGATGACCTTATCGACCGGGGCCGGGATTGACCCACGCCTCGTCAGCCTTTTACTGACGAACCGTGATAAGCCCTGATTGTTATATACGACGAACGAGGTGGCTCATGCTACTACCGCCAGCCAGAACAAATTCGTTTTGGGTGCCCCTTGGGCCGCGTTATTCACTTAAGGTGGTCGTCCGACATCGATCGACGTTTCTCAAAAATTTGTTTTCGCCATTGATCTGGGTTAACAAACTGGATAAAGACGTACGACCAGGTTACCGTGCTAGGTTACGCGTACGGATATCTCTCCAGATGTACGGATATCTAATCTATGCGTACATATATGTATAGGAAGCACAAGGGACATGCAAATAACTGGATGTTCGGTCTGAACCGAGGCGTACGTTTTTTTGAAATCAGCTATCTTTCGTTATATGTATGTATATATGAAGGGTGAAACATCGAAGGAACAAAACGACGGGAAAAGAGACGAACAAAGGGAAAGAATAATCGGGAAATGTGACCACCGTGCCGGGAGCGTGCATGAAAAATGTAAATTTACATTGCCGTGCGGTAACGGCCGATTCGCCGGACGACGGAAGGGAAAATTTTAGCGCAAACGTATCTAATTGCACACAGCCATGCGCTGACGTGGCTAACGTAATTGCGGTAAAACATGCATTTAAAAGCCTTTAAATATTGAAACGTTCCCCGTTTCCCCCCCGATGAATGTTTCAAGGTACGATAGCATCGATATACACACGATCGATCGTTTGTGAATTTTTATCGTTTGGCCGTTCTATGGATGATGTAAAAACTGCTCGACGGATGGATCCACCGACGGATGAATTTTTTCGTCGTTGAATACGAATCGCGCGTGTCCCTCTCTTTCCCACGTGATAATGGCGTCACGTGGCTGGTCGGTTATTTTTGACAAACATTACCGGTGATCTACATACACAACGGCAGAATATTTCTACTCTCCACCGTGACAGATATATATATATATATATATTTTTCTAGATTAGATTGTGTCGGATCTCCGTTGCAAAATGGTTTTTGACGCGACTATCTTGTGACAAATTCACGATGTTATGCATACAGCATGGAGCTCGGCTTCGTTGTCGAAGGATTATACGTTGCCGAGCGCGGATGTAACAACTTTGACGAAACAACAGGATGATCCACTGAAAGAGAGATGCACACCATCGAGGTGTATACGTGGATGTACGTCCTATACCCGGGAGATCTCGAATACGCAAAATATATTTTGAAGAAAGTATTTATACGATTGGCCACGCGC